GTCTACGGGCACTTTTTACAGTCAAAGCCGTTTATCGATAGACAGAATGAAAGTCAGTTTATGAAACCGGTTACCTGGAAAATGTGGGTAGCTACTATAATTCAAAAATAGGTAAAGATTTTTTGTGCCCTTTTCTTCTATTTTAAGAAAAACACTTTTTCAATTATTAACTTCAAACCATCAATATGTAGTCATCAACAGCCAATAAGAGACCACTGCTGACCAAAGACCTCTTCTCACTCGAAGAAGGTTTGAGCATTAGTCACCACGCTTGCTCTATGCGGGTTGGCGATTTCAAACTCATAATCAGAAATTATAAGCCCAGGTTTCCTTACGATATTTTCCTTTATCGTTTGTCAATGGTGTCTAATAATCTTAGAAAGTACATATAACTCGGAAAAAGTTACATTGGTACTTGCCGTTGGTAGGCTTCGAGCCTGCGCCCTCATGCACGAGAAGAAGGCGTCGTATACCTCCAGGCTACCACGACATTATATGTAGTATTCTAACCAAATTTGACAGATTTTGAACAAGATATAATATTATATTACCCATTTAGTTATTAATATGGAATGCCCAGGAGTCGTACTTGCGACCACTGGGCCAACGAGTCAGGTAGCGAGCAAATTATCAATGTCTATTAATAAACTGATTCCAAATTAACCTCTTGACTGAGCAGAACATTGACATTTTATACGTCAACGCAAAACAGAAGGGCATTTAAATAATTAATTTTGTAACTTGAGCGATTTTGGTCTAATTTGAAATATCGGTTTATTGCGGTTTCAGTAAACTGTGGAGTTTTATGTTTCGTCTATTATTTATTTATAATAAGAAACATTGTTCAATATTAAATGTTTTAGGTTTAGTTTTACGAAAGTTCATTGCTATTGCAGAACTTGTTTAAATGTCTATCGTTCTCTTCGAGAATCTAATTTGGATTCTGTTATACAAGGCGTATCGTAACCGATTTAGCCGATTGATTTTCTATACATTTGTGCATACTGGGTTTCATTGTAAAGCACTGGTGGCGCTAACACCGGTATTATAGACCGATACACAAGCGGTAATCTCTGCTCAAACATTGTTGGACGGGGATGCATGTGTCCATTGAATGTATTCGCATCCCTTTTGAACTGTACTTGAGAAGACATCTCTGTTTGAGTGTCGTTCTAAAATATCGGTCTTAGATGTGTTTACATCTACTGCGAGAGCATTCCCCAGTGTATGACAAAGGGATTGGTGGAGACTCAATCTGTTAAACAGCAATCCGTTTAATGTATTGGTAAAGACGATTTTGTTACATGGAACTTGTAACACAACTTGTTAGGTGTCACATCGTATCTCTGTGGGGATTAAATGGCGTGATGTTATGTATCACTACATAGTACAAAACAAAGTCGCTATCCGCCATCTGTCTGTCTCTATGTATGATTATATCTTTAAAACTACGCAACGGATTTTGATGCGGTTTTTTTAAATAGATAGAGTGATTCTTAAGGAAGGTTTATAATACATGCATATTGCACCCGTGCGAAGCCGGAGCGGGTCACTAGTGTAATAATAAGTTACATACAAAAACTGCCTTATAATAAGATTGTACAGTTTTTAAAACTCTTGTGACTTCTCTGGTGATACCATGAACGGCTCTGATTGCTTACCATCGGGAAATCCGATTGCTCGTTTGTCATATACCATAAATATAAAATTTTGCAAAGAGTTGTCCTCTAAAGAATGAGGTTTTTATTAGGTAATGGTAATGGGCGTAACCTCACTGACAATGGTGATTATTTTAATGTAATATAACTACGTTTCAAACGATTGCCATGATCATCAATTTTGTTTATTACAGATTATCTGCTAATAAAATGAAATGAATACATTATCAGATGCAACTTAAACTAATTATATAAACACTTGACACAGATTTGCATAATTTATAAAAAAATCACTTTATTTCTCTTAATACCGATTCCAATACTGTTAGTATTATTTTAGTAGTTCTAAATTAATAGATCTAGTATTTAAATTAGTAAAACTAGAATACTTATAAAGTGAGTTGCTAAGTTATTATCTGATACTTGAACTTGAGATGTAAACAAATATTAGGGACTTAAAAAGGTTTTTTAAAATAGCTTTAAATATAAATTTCTGATAATTCAGCGATGAATTTTTATCGAAGAATTTTCTCGGCAATGTGATCAACGGTGCGTTTACACATTTTTTTTTTATAAAATTCTTGTATTATCTAGTTTTTTATAAGAAATTCTAAGCAAGGCAAATCGCGTCTGAAATGTTAAAAATTGTCACTTAAAATATTGTAACGATATTTTTTATCTAAACTGGAAGAATGTTTAAATATTTTCTTAATAATTATTATAGAATTCAACCTACAGATATTTTTTTACTTCTTTTTATCAAATTTTTTAAATTTTTTTTTTTATAAAATTCTTGGATTATATAGTTATTCTTAACAAGGTAAATCGTGTCTGGGAATGTTAAAAATTGACACTTAAAATATTGTTGCTATATTTTTTATTTAAACTGTAAGAATGTTTAAATATTTTCTAAATTCTTCTTATAGAATTAATCCTACAGATATTATGATACTCTTTTTTATCTTCAAAGGGTAGGAAGGTGGAGGTAGACATAAAACAGTCTGAATAAGCATTTGTATTGTTGCAAAATGTGAATAGCAGTGTCTTGCAAACCTACGTATATTACATACTACAAATTGCAAGTACATATTAGATAATGAATTATATATGTATATATATAATGCTGAGGTAATACAGTATAATTCTGTATCACCGTTGAATATACTGAATGTGTACTAATACTGCAATTTAGTCCGTCTTAGGAGATGTTGTAACTGCAAGATAGGTAACTGTTTATTCAATTAAACATAATATATATATACAACTTTATATACAATAGTAGATAAGAGAGATTATATAGGTATTTACCATTCTGCTACAGTTAAACTTTAGGTCATGTAAAAAAATCTGCGAACAAATGTTCTAAGTAGATATATTTGGTGGGCGGTAAGCAGTGTTCCTATTTATCATAGTTACATATATGTTCTGTGCTGATCGTAGAAATAATATATGTACAGATAGAACACAATGCTCATCACATTACAGTATGTTAATTTTAGTTTATTTGGCTGAATAAAGCAATTAATTACTCTGTGCAATATTAGATTTAATTAACTTCTTTTGGTGAATTCCTTACATTATGAGGTTTAAGGATTTTAAAACGATCGATTAATACCTTGGTATGCTACGTAGGTACTTTAGGGCGCGGTTCATAATCGGACGCGGTCCATTAAGTGATAATTAGATAAGTAGCTAAATTACCATTACGGTTTTGCTAAGGTCTTAAGTAGCAGCCGAATAGTTCCAGAAGTTACTTGAGTTTTTTTTTAATATAAATTGTTATCTGTAGCTAAGGGTTGAAAGTTATTTGTTAGAATGTTGCTGCCAGTATGGATCAGATAAAATATTTAAGTACTTTACCAAATACTAACATTCCGCAACAAACTACTCTTAGAATCGTAGAATATCTGTATTAAAGAAAACTGTTAGAAACTTTCCATTATCAGTAAAAAGTTTAACAAGTACTGTTGTCGAGTTTTCCGACAGAACGCGTGAACTTCATGTAGGTACCAATTTTTTTTCGTATAAAATGTGATTTGGTATATTTATCACTACTTTTTTATAATAACTACCTCTATAATCCTTACTAATATTTTAAATCGGAAAGTGAGTCTGTTTGTTTGTTTGTTCCACTTTCACGCCGTAACTACTAAACCGATTGCTTTGAATTTTTGCAGACGTGAAGTTAGAAGTCTAGATTAACTAATAGGGCACTTTTTATCCCGGAAAAATTTGATATTCTCGAGAGAAAACGATGTTATTGGTATAGATGGCGCTGTGTGTATTGGTATAATATATCATATAGGCTACTTTTTATCCTTTTGTGACGTGAGCGAATTCGCGGGTAAAAGCTAGTGTTAATATATATAATAAAAAGCTCTACTAGTTTTGAACCACAGAGGGGTTCTTCCTCATGGGCAGAGTGCGTATTCGCGTTGATGTCGCGCAGCCTGCTGGCCTGCGTTGACGCTAACATCGGTGTACAGCCAAACTCAATACCATTTAGTTTATTAAATATCCACGCAATACAGATGCAATGGGGGCTAGTATCGTGCTACTTGCTTGTTGTTGAAACTTATAGAGCTTTTCTTAGTATATGTACGTGAGTAACCTGCGATTTTTTGTTAATTTATCACTACTGTTGGTGATAATTGTTTATCGTTATATGTGCTATAAACCTAGCTTACTCTCACCTCAAACAGACAGACAAGCATTGAGTTACAGCCTGCATACAAATTGATTAATATTCTAACCATTGAAGTTTTTATTCAAGTCGTAATTACTTAAATACAGGTTGTACCACTAAAACGTAATTAATGCAATATTTCACATTACTTACAACGTCCATCAATACAAACAGTAACATAGTAAAGTGAGTGGCACGCCTAATTTTTGTAATCATTCAGCACGCACCTCGGCCTGACGTACTAATCACGGCAGTTAGCGGGTGGTGCACGTATGTATAACAATGTTTTAGCCAATCAGAGCGTGGCATCTGACGCGCGGATTGACCGTCGTAGTGGTGACACAAGAATCACGGATACAATGAAACCACGTGTTCCTAATTGTGCCATTGTCTAAACGTTGTGAATTATATATTTTGACACCATGCTTGTGTATAGAAAGCGGAACTTTCTAATCCTTTTATCAGCATTCCGTCTGTTTGTATGACATAGAGGTAAATGTGAGTGCATGAATGCAGATTGAATTTTAAGTTCCTCTATTAGCAAGATATTGGTTTTGAATTCGTCGTCATTTCGATTCTGTGGATGTCAATTTTATCTGACTTGGTTTATTCACTAAATAAATGATGTGGAAGCATTTTTTGATTTTGATACTTACATGTTCAGCTTTAGGGGATAATTCAGCCTGAAGAACGTCTGTCCATGGACAGCCATGCTGAAATAACTCGCCTCCTCAGTGTTTGATATCCAGGCTGATATTTCCCTAGGGTTTTCTCCGACTGCAAACAAAAGATATTTCTACTTAGTTGGGAGTTTTAATCAGGCATTGCATCTCGATAACAATAGAAATTTGTATCGGTAACGTTTTTATTATTAGCGATTTTTCGTACTGCATAGTCGCGGTATTTTTATCACTTTAAAATTAATTCAATATTGTGTTGAAAAGTGCAGTAAACAAATTAGAATGACTAAACATTTTTACTGTCATGTCTGCCTCGTTGGCCGAGTCGTCGCAAGTGCGATTGCTGGGCATGGGGTCTCGGGTTCGATTCCCGGGTGGGGCAATGTAGCAATGGTTTATTTTTAATCTCAGTAGAAGCACGGAAGTTTGGCCTTGTGCCCAGTATATGGCAATAGGCACACCCGCTATTACATGGGACTCACTCATAACATAAATAGTGAAAAGTGGGTGTTACATTGTAGAGTGGCATTAAGCGCCGTGATGTGCACCTCTGCCTATCCATTCAGGGATAAAAGGCGTGATGTAATGTTATATAATAAAATATTTTTACGAAAAAGCAATTTAATAATGTTTTACTGCTGCCAGAGATCTTACAGTAGTGTGAATTTGTGAAGGGTACTTATCTAAAAGTACCTTTACATTATATTTAAAAAATTGAAAAAGGTTTTTTCTTTTTCGCCTCCCCGAATAGTCACAAGCCGTCTAGATTCGGGAGAAATTCTATCGCTGAATTACCGAACAACATATAGATACAATAAAATTCATGCGAATGTAAAAATGTAGATAAAAATCCCCTTAAAAATAAAATGATAATTGCTTCATTGCACATTAGACCCTATTGAAGATTTTACTTCTCTACTAAGATGAGATTGAAAGAGGATAGATCCAACTCGAAGACAAAGGCGGCGCGGTAAGAATCGCCGTTGAATTTAACTCCGAAAAGATGGGACGTAGTTACCTACATAATTTGAGTGTCGTTGGTGAGTTCGTTCATCCGAGTACCTAGTGACTCTCTCATTGTTTTCTTGGATTTTGTGGTTTTACTCGGTAAGAGTCCGACATGACCTGCTGTCTGACATTATAAGAAGTAGGTGTTTGTGCACAACAGCTTATTCCTTCGGGCTTTTAAACTAATGGTAAAGAAACCTAGGCTTATAATTTCTAATCATAAGTTTGAAATCGCCAACCTGAATTGAGCAAGCGTGGTGTTTAATGCCCGAACCTTCTCCGTGCGAGAAGAGGCCTTTGGTTGATGTGATATGATGTTATTTATACGAACATATGACGTTTTTTTATTATTTGAACTAGTGTTTAGTGTTGAATAGTAATCATTATATATGATGATCCTAATCAAAATTGGTTCAGTCGTTCTTGAGTTATGGGCAGAGTATATTAATATTGAAGGTTGATACTTAACATTTATTTGTTTGGGATTCATTATTATTATGTTCATATAAAATAAACCGGTATTTAATGATTTCCTAAACGTTTAAATTTAGGTACTAATTTACCTTGACACACATTTTTGTTTTTTTTTTATTTAATAGCGTCTCTTTTCGGTTTTATTCGGATTATATTTTGTTTGTTTTTTTACGTGTACATACCTACCTTATCTACTATTCATAACTAAAATATAAATCTTATGTTGCATATTTTTTTCTCTAAATCTTAAATAAAAAATCTTGTATTGTTATTGCAAATTTGTGTATTTAATATTGTGCTAAAACCATATAAATCAATTGTTAAGAAATAAATGAGGCTTTATTATTATTATACCTTATCTACTGTAGGACCATAGTCCTTGATTTTGTGGGGATGCCATAATCTATAGAGATTACGAAGTATAGACTTCGTGTGCATATGGAGTTTGCAATTCAATATTCTCAACTTTATCAGACACCGGTATTTATTTTAAGATGTCTAATAAACCTCATAATTTGTATATGTAAGGTTAATTGTATTTTTATTATTTACTTAATATTCAATGACCAAAAATCCTTTTTTTAAGAGGGGAAATCATTCAAGGTCTTTTCCCGCCCGGTTGAAATGAGAGAGAGTTTCAGACTCTTACTGACTAAAAACCAGCCCGTTCCTAGTCCTGCTATTCGAGCCGGAGCCTCGGGAACCCTTTAAGTCTTCCGCGGCAATTACTAATGCGTCAATACATACATGCAGATGAAACTAAAATAAATAGATATAGGAAAACAAAATCCAGTACGAAAATTGTAAGAATTACTATTATAATAATATGTACTTTACATTGAAGTAATATATTACCTTAGATAAGGCAAGCCGCTTCAGAGTTTCGAGCTTCTGGAAGACATCAACGGTCAAAGTTTACAAAATAAATTATTACGTCATCTGTTAAGTATTTCTTTAATACTTTAATGGTGATAATAGTGACTATGCTTATGGCCTGAATAGCCTAAAATATAACTGTCAAGAATACCTGTATAACATGTTAATGTTAGAGTGTAACAGCCTCTAAATCGTTTAAATATGCAATATCACACTTATCTATACAATGCCGATTAAAACTTTGCACGATATATTTTTGGTAGATCTGTGCAGATCCGTACCAAATAAACTTGAATGTGTATAGTAAGTTATTTTACTATCACGGTATGGGTTAAAACACCCAGGATACTTTTAGTTTAATTTAAAAATCAAACAAGATAAGTATGTAAGAAAGAGGTATGTCAGCATCGTAGCAATTGGCGTGCCAAAGTCCCTGCCCATCCCGATGGGAGACAGGCCCGAAGTTATCTTATAAAGCAGAAGAGTTTGTTTTTTTGTTTGTTTGTTTGAACGCGCTAATCTCCGTAACTACAAGTCTGATTTGAATAATTCTTTTTGTGTTGGATAGCGCATTTATCGAGGATGGCTATAGATATAAAATATCACGCTACGACCAATAGGAGCTGAGCAGAGCGTGTGAAATCGCGCGGAAGTAGCTAGTGTAAGTATATATGCCAAACTATAGTCAGACTAATTTGACAGCTATCATCAACAGAATGTTAAGCAAGTTAATTTGGAGCCCATCAGCTTTCCGATGGTTTTCCAATGTCATCACGTTCAGTCCAAGTAATTAAAATTTCAAGTACCCTTCCTCTATCCGATTGACGTGCAATGACATCTTTCAGTTCCATTTCATGTTTTAATGCAATTGGACCTCACAGGATATCAGTTATGGTAATCAATCACCACCTCGTATGACAACAGTGATTTCACTATTTATTAAAGTGTGGACTTGATTTTAAAGCTTGCCGTGTTTCGATATTTCGGTGCAATTATTTACATTTAGCGTGGACTACGGTTTATGTCCGACTAGCTTTTACCCGCGGCTTCGCTCAAGTCACAAAAGGATAAAAAGTATTCATGTGACATATACCAATACACATAGCGCCATCTATACCAATACTTTTCTTTTCCCTCGGGAATATCACATTTTTTCCGGGATAAAAAGTATCCTATTATTTAATCCAGACTACTAACTTTACGTCTGCAAAAATTCAATGCAATCGATTTAGTAGTTACGGCGTGAAGTCGGAACAAACAAACAAACAAACAAACTCACTTTCCGATTTTATAATATTAGTAAGGATTTATCTTGTTATGAGTTGCATGCATGATTTTGTTGGATAGTCCATTAATTGCGAAAGGCTACAGGCTTCCACGCCACAATCATTGCGAGGCTAGCTGCTGACGGAAGCGCGTGGGAGTAGCTCGTGCAGTAATGTTAACTAAACGAATAAATAAGCAAAGACAGAAGGTCTCACAGAGAAAACTTTAAATAAAACGAACACATCGCGCTGCGGTCTTCCGAAGACGTATAAATGACCAATAGCAGACACACCTAGGGTTGCCAACCATACTCTATATTATAGGGATGGCGAACCATTGGCACGCGTGCCGTTGATGGCACGGAACACAACATTTTGGGCACGACAGTGACTACAAAACTGATGAATGATCAGAAACCTACAACGCTTATGGTGTCTTAAATATTTCAGGTGTATGTAGCCATACTGCGGTGACAGTTTACTATACCAACTGTATACTTTATTGCTACAGATTGACAGTAAATAGTAGTAATCAGTCGATGGCACACATAAAATGGTAAAACAATTTTCTTCGAAGTAATTGGCACGCTAATGTGTAAAGGTTCGCCTTCCCTGCGCGTCTTTTTTTTTTTTTTTTTTTAAGGGGGGAAAATCATCGAATGACTGCTCCCGCCCGGGTGAGGCGGAAGGGAGTGTCAGACTCTTACTGACTAAAAACCACCCCGTTCCTTCTCCTGCACGTCGAGCCGGAGCCCCGGTTACCCGTTAGGTTCTCCGCGACTCCGAATCGGCATCGGCCCTATTGGGCCCCATCTGTGGTGGTCTGATGGCTCTTTGAGGCGCGCGCGGAACGCGACGCGCCGTACGCTCGGGTCTGTTTCTGGTCGGACGGGGAGCCACCCATGCTCGCCGTCCGCAGGCCCGCGCTTACGGTGGCCGGAGATCGTCCCGCGATCCCCGACGCCCGGTGTGTCCTTCGCGATGGCTGGGTTGCGAGGAGGCAGCGCTTCGCTGCCTCACGCGTCCCGCCTCCTCCTTAGCCAGCATGACTGCTTCGCAAAAGGAGGAGACGGCATCCCAGTCCCCCTCGCTCCGCATCATGGCCTGAACTAGGCCCGGACGCGAGAGGTCTCCATCGCCGATCACTTCCCTGAGGGCACGGCGGTGCTCAGCCCACGCAGGGCATTCCGCAACAGTGTGTTCCACCGTGTCCTCAGGGTGGTCCTCGCAGTGATGACACCCGGGCGTTTCCTCCCGCCCCATCAGACACAGGTACCTCCCGAAACTTCCATGTCCGGTGAGGACCTGCGTCAGGCGGTAGGTGAGGACGCCGTAGCGTCTCTCAAGCCACTCCTCAAAGAGGGGACTTACCGCTGCAATGGCAGCGAGCCCATCCCTGCGCGTCTTAATATAGAGTCTATAATAACGTATCATACTTAAAAAGTATGATTATCTAACACTATCTTTTACATGCAAATAAAGTATGTGAAAAAACTTTATTTCAAACCTTTATTGCAGTGCGTGGAATAACACGGTACTAAATATTTAATGGTGTTTATAAATTTAAAAAGATTATGGTAAACGACTTATAATTGCTGAGCAACATGTTAGTGAAATAGTGTCGTCGAAATTGTGCGAAAATTGTCCAACGTTTTTGTATAGGAAATTAAAGATACTCTAAAGTAAAAATGAATAACTAAAAGTGACGAGTAATTCCGAAATTGATAAAATAATTGAAACGTACGTTTTTTCTTTTAAATACAAATAAAAATAGCCTTTTCGTCAAATGAAGTTGGCAACCCTAGTCACATCCATTCCACAGTACAACTAGTTATATACATAAAGATTTCATAATAAAATCTATTAAACGATGTCTGTGCTCTGTAACAGTACTTGTTTTAATTAGCCGAGGGAGACTATACCTAGAAAGGTTTTCTAGAATCATTTATTCTAGAAACTACGTAAGTAAAATGACCGTTGAAAAATGAAAGAACTTGAAAGTTGATACATTAATGTGTGGTTGTAGAAACTTGTTATTGTTTTATTTATTAAGGGTGTATACGAATGGGGCCGTCGGTAGAGGGCGCCCTAGATGAACATATAGTGACCAGATTGCCGATATATTAAAGAAGGGCCAAATTAAAAGTACCCATACCCGACGAGCATGCATGAAAAGATTGATGACTGTTGATGAAGCGAAAGAAGGATGCAGGAATCTTAGTAATTGGCGTTCCATAGTCTCTGTCTACCCCCATGGGAGACGTCGCGGAGAACCTAACGGGTAACCGGGGCTCCGGCTCGACGTGCAGGAGAAGGAACGGGGTGGTTTTTAGTCAGTAAGAGTCTGACACTCTCTTCCGCCTCACCCAGGCGGGAGCAGTCATTCGATGATTTTCCCGCCTTAAAAAAAACCCCATGGGAGACAAGCGTGAAGTTATATATGTATGTATGTATGTTATTAAGGGTGTAGATGTAACGCTCTCAAAACGCTGACATAAAGAAATGGATTTTATTATTTGACGCTGACATAAAGAAATTGATTGTTTTCGTGTTGTTCATTCTACATCAGCCTTGAGCGGTTGATTACAACTATTACTACATAAAAATAACATTTAATTTCATACTTTTATGTTTATATATTGTTTTTACCATCCCTCTATAGTCTATAGAAAGAATAGGTAACTAAAACCCACAACTTTGTCAACGTTTTTCTACAATAAAAGTAGTCTTATGATATTCCTTAGTACATTAACTACCTGCCAATAACAGTCCTATTAAAATCACCAGGGTCAGGGGAGAGGCAGTGTCAGACTCTTACTGATTAAAAACCACCCCGTCCTTTCGCCCGCTTTGTCGTCGTCCGCAACCCCGGACATTAACATATTGCTGTTAACTGAATCACATTTGATATTATGAAGTTCGATAATAATTTGATTCCACTTGAATTGAAATTATACTAAAGTGATGACGTAAGAACTGCCTAGTTGGCCGAGTGGTCGCAAGTGCGACTGCCGGGCAAGGGGTCTCGGGTTCGATTCCCGGGTCGGGCAAAGTATTACAGGGTTTTTAAAAATCTCAGTAGTAGAACGGAGTCTGGAAATGTGCCCAGTATATGGCAAAAGGCTCACCCCCTATTACATGGGACTCATAACATAAATAGTGAAAAGTGGGTGTTACATTGTATAGTGGCATTAAATGCTGTAATGTGCACCTCTGCCCCTTCGGGAATAAAAGGTGTGATGTTATGTTATGTTATGAAGTAAGAAAATAGATACAGAGGCAGTGTCTATTGTTACATCAAAATTCTTTTATGGTTTATATAGAAGCTTTAGGTTTTGTAGACAATGACCAGCTCAGTAGCCAACCAATGATTACTCTCGGTATATAATAATAATATTTCGATACTCTATGATCATGCTGATAGTTTAGAAATAGTCGGTGATGAAAGAACTAAACAGGTAGTCTATTTACGATTTAATCTAGTTTCATGCATCGTGAGTTCTAGAAACTGTCAATATAAGTACCCACTAATGTTACATAATAGTAATAAGTTTGATTAACAGACTTGGTCTGCGATCATATTTCGTGACTTGCTATTGGTACATTTACCTGGCTCGTTGCAACACTAAGACTGATAGATGTAAGTAAATTTAATAATGGTATATAGAAGGTAGGACTAGGGTTAGCGTACGTCATTCATTGGGTATTTTGATAAAACAGACATTTATACCTACTTTTGAATTTATAATATGATATTAATAGTATAGTTTTTAACGGGGACGTTTAACCGCACTATGTATGCCCATTAACATTTTTTTAATGTGGCTAGCCCGCCACACACTCCCAAAACCGCTGCAACTCCTGTAAGCCAGGATCTACAGTAGAAACAACCATGAAAACACCGGAACACTGAAGTCCGGCGCGTCCCAGGGACATGAATAACTGTCTTGGTTCCCGCAACGAAGTCAATCAGAAGATATTATGCCCATTAAAATTATAAAAAAGTAACATTCTTGAATTAACTAAAAATAATGGTTGCCTCACGTAAATGAGGAACGTATTATTTAAAAAAGAAGGGGACCTCACTCTAGGATTTTCTCTACTAGGAAGTTCACATACACAATGACACCCAGACCCGAAACAACAATGTGGATCACGCAGTGTTGTTCCGTGCGGGAATCGAACCCGTGACACGTTGTATGGCAGCCGGTTGCCCAGCCACCGCACCAACCGTGCAATTATATGTATCAATATATATGTACTGAGAAGAGCTCTATTAGTTTCGAGTCACAGACGGACTCTTCCTCATGAGCAGCATGCGCGGTGATGCGACGTAACGCAGCTGCTGAGTAAACCCCTACTTTTAGCTGATTCAGCATGTCTCATCATAGTTATTAAAAATAGTAACATTGTTAATATAGAAAGCAATAGGTGGATGTTTTTTTAATCAGGTCTCATACATAACATAACTAGTGAGAATAGAGAGATATATAGTCATTATTACATGGGACTCATAACATATAGAACGAATGTATAACATACACTTTTCTTCTTCTTAAGTCAATCCATCTAACACACTTACTAGCTATTAAATAGCGTGACGTTATGCTAAGATAGTATATATATACATACATACATAATATCACGCCTTTTATCCCCGAAGGGGTAGGCAGAGGTGCACATTATGCCACTGTACAATGTACACCCACTTTTCACTATTTATGTTATGAGTCCTATGTAATAGGGGGTGAGCCTATTGCCATATACCGGGCACAATTCCAGACTTCGTGCTACTACTGATAGTATATACGTACTTACAATAATATATAGTTATTAGATGAAGATCAATTCTATATCAAATCAGTTGGATAGGATCTTTTTTATTTTATTTTTTTCTACTTAAATTTATTGAATTAAACAACTTGATTTGAATTAGATTTCATTGCTTTTACAGCAAAAGAAATGTATTACAAGATTTATTTTATACCTTTACTTTTTTAACTAAATAAAATTATGTTTTATGGAATATAATTTTTCATCTCTTTGATAAATTCGAAGTGAGCACTCTCTTATACGGAAAACACTCAATTTCTATTAATCAATTACCATGCATTTCGTTTGTGAAACAGGACGCTTTGATCTAGTCAAATCTAGTCAAGAAGTGTAAGCAAACATTTCAAAGAATTCATAACTTAATATTGTATACTTTATTCTGAAAAAATCCTATACAGTTACAGAAAGAAAACTTTATATTATAATTACCTATCATTTTCGGATCTCTCGGACAGATTTTGATGTGTTTCTCTATGTATGAGCAGTACATACCTATGTTGTACTCATATATTTGGTTATTGCCTATCCTTGGCCATACTTGAACGAACTCCCATATATAATATGTTTAGTCGGATACAATTCTAGAGTCGATTAGTATCACTTCGTCACTTTATGGAGCAGAGGGTAAAGTTCCCTAAGATCAAAAAATCCTCCGACCAGGCGAGCAGTTTAGTTTACGACCATTCAATTAACACGGCATTTATTGGAAAACACCTAATCAGCTTTTCATTCTATAGTAGTTACTGCAAATAAATCTTTAGGGCCAGCATTCACCACATTGTGACTTAACTACGTCCATGCGTCTACCTAATCTTACTTAATAATGCACTTTTATGCAGGTCTTATCGAAATGAACAAAAAATTCCAGTCCTTTTTTCTCAAGCAGTGATACTGAATTCTTTACCAATGATAAGCGTTTCATAAAAAGTTTATTTAGGACAGCTCTTTGAGGTGAAATCCTCTGAACTTCAGCGAGAAAGTGCCTCATTTCTTTCTGAATATATTCAATATCTTACTAGTCTAGACCTAATATTGCAGTCCGTTTGAGCAAGGGGCGGAATTCAGATAAAGGTCAGGTCTAAAGAATATTCTTTTAATTTTAAACTTTTGTGTGATAACAATAGAAACCAATTTTGTTAGTATCTTTTTGTGATTTGTGGCAGATTCTTCTTTAATTCACTGGGAGATTCCCTTATTCATCGAATGGTCGCAAGTATAACTGCCGAGTAAGGAGTCTCGAGTATAGTCAAACCAAAGTCTAAGACGTCAGCCAACAAACTTAAAAAGCGAAAGAAAGGTACAAGGTACTCACCAGCATAAGAGAACAGAGGATGATCTCCAGAGTGATTGTGAAACTTGGTCCACATGCAAAGAGTAAACTCCTTGAGGTCAGGTATTTCTTTCTCGTATTCCATGTATTGGAAGAAGAGCTCCTGGTTCATGGAAACCTTGTGGATGCTGCAGGTATCAGACATTTGGCTGGCAGGGTTGAAGAGGCTGACTTTGTTACCAGATCCGAATTGTGGATGAACTGGTCTTCTGTTCAATATCTTGAGTTGTGGACTAGAAAGAAAAAAATTAGTTAGCCACGGAGTATATAATTGTTTCTTCTTTTATGTGCACAGCTAAAATACTGACCTAGTATCTAAAGACCTTTCGGGCGTGTGATACGTTGAAAACATCACCGAAGTATCCGGCAGGATCGGCTGCCAGTCACTCTCCTTCGCCACCGCAGCGCCCAAAAGGGCAATCACGACGAGTAATCGCATTTTCTGTAACAATGCAACAGTTGCCTGTTAATATGCCTGTACTTAGTCATTCAATACACATGACAATACATCAAACTTGGAAACCAGATTATTATGGTCCCGATTTGTATGACTTTCCTCACATTCGATAGCCAGTTTATGCTGGTTTATCCTAGCCTGATGCGTTGAGTACAAGTCAGTGAATAATTAATTTAGGCGCACAATTACTATTATTCGGCCAAGCATAGCGTATTAATATTACTCGCTTACAAGGCTTGCTTGCCCAATATTGGACCATCATTAATGTGTAAATACCTAGGTACTGCTTATTATTTATGAAAAACTTTAAAGTGAGAACTGTTACTGCTAAGTTAATTGCGAGATATTATTGTGTTTGTGATTAATTTGCGGTTTCGTCAGATTCTGTTTGTAAATTATTTTAGTATGACTTGGTCGCATTGGGAAATGGAATTTGAATTTCATGCACATTACAGTTGGTACTGTATAGTACCGTATAGACGCTATTCGTTTGTAAAGCCTCGACTGATGATGACAACAACAATATAAGCTGTGGTAAATAAGCATTTCAAATACAGAAGACACTGAGATAAACATAGATGTCATAGTTCATCTAAGTATACTAAAAAGGGATGGCATTAAGGTTAAAAATGCAGTGTAATGTGCAAGTATTATTATAAGTAATGAGGCCGGTATGTTTTTAGTTTGTGTCCGCCAATTATGATATCCGACACTTAGTCGTAGATAGTCGTGGAAGGAAAAGTGGTATGCGCCGTTTCCTCGATCCCGTCTCTTAGTTCCTGCCTGACCACTTAATAAATACAACATTTTATGTCCCATTACTGCAGAACAAGAAGTTTATAGTTCATAAATTATGTAAAGTTATATCGAATTCTATTCTTTAAATAGGATATTAAGCCCATATCACAATAGCCAGCCACTATATACTAGAATATAGAATATAATTTGTATGAACTATCTGTCACATAAATTTATCGGGTTACGTATATGACGATGGTGAAACAGGTGCTTCATGTTATAACTACTTTTCGCTAGTTATTAAACAAAAAGCCCCATTTATTCAGACTACAGAATCAAACCTCACGTTCTTTTGCTCACTTTACCAACGAGATGTCGTTGTTTACGTCATTGAAAACTCTATTTGGAGGCAAACGAAGAAAAACTGGTTCAAAAACAAATGAAGTTATGTTCGTAATATCCTTTCGAGCGTGTTTGTGTCGTTCGGGCTTCGGATGTCATCTACTAGACGTTAGTCAAATTAGAATTACGAACATATCGAATTTCTTAGGACTATAGACTTAGATTTTTTTAAATTATGTCCTGTATGTCTGGGTTTATTCGACACATTATTGATATATGGTTTATCAATTTGAATTGTGCCTACGCAATACCAATTTTCTATAAAAAGAATTTAATAGTACTCGCCCAAACTTGTCTAGCAGTCGGCCTTGAAACCAAAAACGCAGTAACAAACTAAGCTCATACTCTTGCACCTTTTAAAAATAAGGTAGGTATTAATGCATAAATGATGCAACAATAAGAAAACAAACAATTCCACGAACACTTTCAAGATTATAATTATGCAAATACAACTTAGTCATCAACTTACGACTCGTTTTGAGGTAGTTTAAATCAAATCCAGTAAAAAGTCAGTTAAGAACGATATATTAGGTTATATCATCATCGCAGTTACGTGTTTTGGTTAAAACGCGTTATTAACTGCTGTCATTCCGTTACTATTACATGCACGTTTACGTATTACGACGATGCCATAATTTGTTTAAGAATTTACCTCCTTAACTGCCGTCACAGACCTAGCTATATAATATATATTAATATATCGAGCTATACATTATTTATTTATAAAACTTTATTGCACATATAGTGGAATTGGCGGATTTAATGCCGTAGGCATTTTCTAACAATCGACCATTGGGTGGTGAAGAAAGTTAAAGCGGTAGGCGCAAAATTATAGAAAATTGATTTTTTTATTAACTTTTTATATAAAGCGTTGCCCCACACTAAGATTTTCTCTTGTGTTGTGGGTGCGTTTACAAACATACAAAGTCACATGCACACAGAAAAGAATAAAGGAGATAACGAAGTTAAGGTAATAAAATATTAAAGAGGGAAGACATGATTGTTATAATCTATAATATAGCATTATAATATAGCTAGCCACTACAGACGGGAGCTATACTATCTATCTGATATACATATATAAATAAAAATAAATGTCTGTTTGTTTGTCTCGCTAGAACTCGAAATTGGTTGAACCGATTTGGCTAATTATTTTCTTGAAATGTTCATAGTCCAGGGAAGGTTCGAGTAAGATATTTTTCTAGGCGGTACAAAATTTGCTGGGTCAGCTTGTAATATATATTATTGGTTTTTTTTAAGGGGGGAAAAATCATCGAATGTCTGCTCCCGCCTGGGTGTGGCGGAAGTGTCAGACTCTTACTGACTAAAAACCACCCCGTTCCTTCTCCTGCACGTCGAGCCGGAGCCCCGGTTACCCGTTAGGTTCTCCGCGACATATATATTATTGGTTTGCGATCGTATCGATTAAAGTAAATTGATATATCAAAATATATTTCGTGGAAACATTTATATGACGTTACAGAAATATATCATTACAACTGTGTGTGTGTGTCACTTGAAAATTTGTATTGATAATATACCTTGCTACACCTAGCTATAATATCTAGGTCTCCAACGGCCATAATGTCCATTCTTTCTTAAATTAATCACCTTATCTACGATATTGTTAAATGAAATTCTCATCAATACCATTCTGTGTGTTTCCAAATTATCGTTAACAAATATACAGAAGCTTATAGTTCAAATTCTCAGTATTTTCGGATTAGAGTAATAACAATTGAGTCGCACATTGCGATATATACAGCCCTAATATAACCCTGACACGGGCGTAAGGGCTATTTTTGGACAGCAACAAGTATTGTTAATTGAGGGTTTGTGGTGAACCGCTAACTAAATTACCAATCATGGGCCTTTCATGCCTATTGTGAACTTCAATTACAGTTTTTTTTGACTATGCAATGTTTGTAACAGTATTTCAGTGATTTATTATTCCTTTTTCGGGTTACTCTTCGCTTTATTGTACCTACATATATAAAATATTATTCAATTAGTTTGTCAAGTCTAATAGAAGCTAGAAATCGGACATTTTGATTATATAAAATAATAGTAAATACTTAAAGAGAACCCACAATTAATATTTCGCAACTTTAAAGTAAAGCCGTTTTAAACGAAAATTTTCATGAATTGAGTTAATGCCATCTTATTATTTTAGGCTTTATTTAAAGGTACGAACCGTTTATGTCTCATCCGCATTAGCAAGATAGAAATATCTACACTTGACATGATAGTACTACTATTTTTACATATAGGTAAGTCGTACACGGTAAATTTGATTACGTTTAGATAGAGACAAAATCCAATTTCGATGTCATTTTACCCAAATCAGTTTCTAACTTGGCCTTCAGCAAAGCATCATTGTATTGTTGTGTTCTGAATTTTAAAAACTATGTTTGCCTTTACACACCATAAACACTTAAAAATTTGGATTTATAACACCGCTATATGAATATCGAGACACCAAAACTGTACCATTAAATCGTTTTGTTAGGACATCAATCAAAGACAAGCAATAAAACCCTTTTCACATATCACATAACATCCTTTTATCTCCGAAGATGTAGGCAGAGGTGCACATTACGGCACTTAATACCACTGTACAATTTAACACCCACTCTTCACTATTTATGCTATGAGTCCCATGTAATAGGGAGTGAAACTATTGCCATATACCGGGCACATTTCCAGACTCCGTGCTAATACTGACATTTTTAAAAAACCCAGTAATACTTTGCCCTTTCTACCAGTCGGCCAATGAGGCAGTCAGACAGTAAAACACTTTTCAATTTTTAATATTAAATAAACAAAGTATGCCAGCAAATTACCGTGCCCTACATAGTATCAGAACGCGCAAAAGTTTAATTACTTCTCACAGTAAAAAATATTATATTAAACAAAATCTCGTTGCATACAAGATATGAGATTATTATGTCCGAACATATTAACTTATATATGTAGAGGAATACCTACAATGTTGTGGAATGTCGACCACATTACATAATATATGTACACAATATATTGCCCACGTACGTTATAATGTAGGTACCTAATGAAATGAAGCCTGAAGTTGGATGCAATTTCTCGGACCTTGGGGATGAAAGACACGTGTAACAATATATTTAAGTTTGTATAGAGAAATGCAGAATTACGTTCTCTTTTATTCTTCGAAGTGCGGTAATAAATGGATACTTTTAATATGAAATAATGATTGGATGCGGTTTAGTTTACCTTTACACGTGCCACGCTTTTTATAATACATATATTATGAAACATTTAAAGAACGGATAACTGCGTATATATTTTACACCACTACCCCTAACTATTAGATATGATTTTATATTTGATTGACTTTGACGTCATAATTAAGGTTGTAAATAAATGCGAATGTTTGTGAGGATGTATGTGTGTGTTTGTTTGTCAGTCCTTCACGTCAAAATAGCTGAAAGGATTGTGATAATATTTGGAACAGGGGTAGAGTATAATCTGCAATAATATATAGGCTACTTTTTATTTTATGGGAACGCGGGCGAAACCTCTGGCAGAAGCTAGCATATCTAAAGAAATGGTACTTGAATACAAAATATGAATCTATGTAAATGTGTAAATCAAAATACCGACTTTGTTGAACCTCATTGTGATGAATGTTACTTGTGTATAATATACAAACTCCTTGAAAACATTGTAACATTTGGGACCCTCTACTGTCCTCGGAGAATCCAACTTTTACTTTAGTTATTTTGACATAATTCCAAAGTTAACTGCAGACTCTCGGAATATAGTGATTGATGATGATAGTATTTGATTTTATTTTCGTTCGATAATCG